TGGGTAGCCGCCAGATGGTTCATCCATGCCTGCGCTCCTCCAATCAGCTGTAAGTATAACGCCTTCATCAGATAGTCGTCCGGGACAGTGCGTCATGATGCTTCCGTGAGGAAACGTTGCCACCATGCCAAAGCGTCCGTCTTGTTGTGGTCGTCGAACTTGCTGATGTCGAAGTGCGGCATCTTGTAGTTCTTCGTAGTGGCGTCCGGTTTCGTCTGCAGCTTGGTGATGTCCATCTTGATGGCGGCCACCGTGCTATTGATTGTGTCCGGCCCATTGAAAGCACCTATGTCGCCGATGAGATTGACGACATGATCGATGCGCCCATTGAGCTGCTTCGTTGTGTCTATCATATCTGGCGTGCAGCCTGGCGCTGCTTGGGGAGGTCTTGCCTCCAAGGTAGCAATGCGTGCATCCAGCTGTTTCAACTGGTTGTCCGCGACCTTGACAGCTGCTGCAAGTATCTTCACATTGTGGCTCAGATCGTGCTGCAGCTGCAGCGTGGACCGGGAATGCAGCTCTCCCATGGAGCTGTTCCAAATGACGGCGCGCATTGTATGGAGTAGAATATCTGCCAGGTCGTGCCTCTCTTGCTGTATTGTTGTCGGCTCGCTGCCGGGTGCCGGGACATAACGCATCCCGTCGAGCACCGCTGTCCATTGTGCTTGGTTAGCACTTACAAGATCAGCGCTGCCGGCGTTGAGCTGATCGATCGCCAAGCGGTCTGCCTCGGCTTGATGCCGGGTTTGTGCTGCAGCTTCCTCTGCTAGCCGTAGTCTTTCGGCTGCGGCAGCCTCTTGCTGTTCCTTGACCTGGGTGAGTGCGGCGGTATAGTCCTGCATTCGCTGAATGAAGTCCGGGAGGGGCTCATTCGACTCTCGCACCGGACAGACCGGTAAGGGTTCGGCATTACTAGCTGTCGAACCCTCGGTTGATGATCCGTTGTGTGGCGTGTTCGCCATCTGAGTACTGGTCTGTGGCGGTTGTGGAACTGGAGGTTGCTGTCGCTGTTGGTGATCGGCGATCCTCTTGCTGCGTCGTGGCTGCTGTTCGGAGGCTGGCCCTGATGGCATCAGAAACTGTTGCTGAAGACTGGCTCGTCCGAAGGATCGCAGAACAGTGTGAGGGAGAGGGTGGGTACAGGGATTGAACAGATCAAGCAATCAACATACAGTCCCTGTCCCAAGGATGGACTAAGACACCTAATCAAACAGAAAATAAATTTTCCGTAAACAATTCGAAAATTCGTAATAAGAATAATAATAACGAATTATTTAATCAATAATTTAATTAATGATTAATATGAAAGAATAATTCCTAATGATAATCAATAAAACAATGTTTGTAATAAAGATAATCAATAACCAATATTTGCAATAAATATAATCAATAAGCAATATTTGCAATAATGGTAATGAACGAATTTGAATTGTATCAAGATTAGGTCCCTTTGAGATCAAATACGGTCCGGGAATTCACTGTTAATGAGTGAACTACCCGGAAGTTGCAACTTTGAGGGTTAGCTTCGGATTAGTTTGGCCAAAAAAATTCGGAAAAAGTTAGGGAAAAACACTCGAATTTTCAAAAACGTGAATTTTCGGGAATTTCCACCGTCAAAATCCGATTTTTAAAGGCCTAAACCCGTTTTCGGAATTTCTCAAACAAGGGGAAGGAAAAAAAAATTCGCGAAAATTTCGGTCCCAACCCTAATTTTCCGCGTTTCGGCGGAATTTCCGGATTTACGATCCCCAAAACGTTCGGATTCCCCAAGTTGATCTAAAGCCAAAAGATTTCGTAACCCTAATTTCCACTACTGCGATAAAACGGAAATGCCGATTTGTAAAACGAAATACCGTATTAAAAATCAGAATGCCGAAATAAAAAGCGGAATACCGAAAGAAATCAGAATACCGAAATCAACAGAAAACTGATTTAACCCTAGTTAGGAATTACTAACCAGAAATCCAAATCAAACAGAATGTTGGATTAGTATCAATTTATCGGACCCTAATTAAACAGCATATCGGCGTAAAACAGAAACCCGAATAATAATTCCGAATACTGAATTGAAACGGAAATGCCGAAATAAACAGAATACCGAAAAAAGAAAAGAAAAAAAAAAATTGCAACTTTGAACTTGATAGTAATTCAGCGCTGATTTGGAAGATTGAAGAACAATCTAATTCCTAAATCAGTCTTACCTGGTGAGCAGATCCGTAATTGGTCTGCTCCGATACCAAAACTGTTACATACTTCAATGAGTATGGGCAGAACCAAAGATCAACCAATATAGGATGAGCATATATGCAGCGGAAGTCTGATAAACGGACTGACTCACATAAACTGACTCACATAGACTGACTCACATAGAATCGCTCCACACACATACAATCGTGAGATGGTGGGGTCTGGGCCAAGCATGGACGATGCCCAGATCCCGTACACACATACACAGATGAAAGGTGGGAGGAGAGACGAAGGAGGTGGGGGAGGTAGACAGCACCGGTAGGTCACCGAGATAGAATCCGATAGGTCACGGATATGGTAGTCCAAAATGTCATCCAACAAGATCAAAATGTCGAGGACAATCAGCCACCAATGTCGGAGATACAGAGTCCAAATGTAACCGGTGTTCGAACTGTGATGCCGCCAAGTATCAACCCCAACAATCTCCAAGTCTCCAATCCGGTAAGTACCACAGTCTCATACCACTGAAGTCCAACACTGATCTCTGTCCAACTAGTATAAGTCTCCAATCTGAATAAGAAGAAGAAGAAGAAGATGGAGTCTGAAGAGGAGAAGAAGAAGAAGAAGAAGAAGAAGAAGAAGGAGGAGGAGCCGAGGAGGAGAGAGAGAGAGAGAGGGGACTGGCGAGGGGAGGGAGGAGAGAGGCCTCCAACTCCCGATACCTCAGGCGGCTATGGCCGCCGGTACACTAATTCGCCACTGCTGCTGCTCGCTCGCTGCTGCTGCGCTAATGCTGCGCTGCTGCTCCTCGCTGCTCCTGCGCTAAGTTTAGCGCCAGCGCTGTATCGCGCTGTAGCATACCGTACCGGTAGAATGCCGGTAGGTCGATAGCCTCACTGAGGCTGGACCGGTACTTTTGTACCGGTGGGGCAGAGGCCGGCCTCAATGCTGCGAGGCCTGGCC